CTCGGAGAACAAACCAACAACCAGCCTGCAGACGCCTCACATCATCTGTCCGCAGAGGCCATGTTTCACATACATACAGGAACACAGCTCTTAGTGTGGCATGGTAAACGCGACCCTTAAGACCCATCGATATGTCTCTTGGGTGCCACAATTGATGCAGATTAGCAAACATGATTCGAGCCTTTAAGCTTCTTGCGCTCACTTCGTCAGAGCCAATACAACTACCGAGGTATGTCAATCACACCTATCCGCTGAAATAAACCAGGTTTGGTCAATACTATGGACTGAGATCTCGAAACAATAATGAGTCAACCTTTATATCTGACTAACGAATCCCAACCATAGCGAAACGCTTCACCTTTCTAGAAAGTGACAACAAACTCCGCAACATTCAGCAATCAATTTTGTGGATTGGAGCAACCTCAATAGGGCTCTTTGGGTCTATTTCACTAACCGTTCGTCTTGCTTACGAAACTGATGTGATAACAGATGTGATAAAACTCGATCCAATAGAACAAAAACAAGATGACGATATTCAAATGGGATGGTGGTCAGTGGTGCGAACTAATTCATGTTTGCGTCACTGAATGCAGCTACTTTTGTTCTGTCCTTGGTGCTTTTTTGTTGTTGCCATCTTTTTCAAATTGTTTTTCGCAAGACTTGGTCCGTTCGCTCTAGACCACCTATGATTTCAAAAGAGGCATATTTGGTCCGATTGAAATAGTGAATAGTTATTCTGACCATTTTTGATGTGACATCTCCGGAACTCCCTCAGATAACTCAGACACAAAGTTATCATTACGAATGGCCAGATGACCTTGTTTCCGCGTCTATAGGTTTGCATTGCAAACACCTCAAGGGATTCACAAATGTAACGTCGGTGGGCTTGTTTCCTCGTGGAGAGAAGACAACTACTGAGTTTTCTGCACGATGGCTTTTTCGCTTGAAAAAAACAAACCGTTTTGGGAGCCGAAAGTATTTCCCTTTCGGTTTTGGAGATTCGTCCTTCGAAGACGAGGACCATGTAAAGACTTCCCTGCAACCCGTATTATCTTCCCGACAGGGATATATATATTCAAGGCATGTGCCTGCAGACCCGAAGTGTGGAAAGACTTAGGGTAAGACTAAGCTGCCCTCATCTGTTTCTGGAAGTGATGCATTGGAGGATGTCAAAGTTAAACTTTTGATTCAACTTAACAGGAAGGATAGATTGCGGTGGGACGTAGCCACCAGGTCTGGCAATAATCGATTTAGCTTGGCCCACCTTAATTCCAAACAATAATTGTTCGTTTTGTTGCTTGCACTCTGTAGATTCCGTGAAATAGTACGTTTATACTTACAAAGCTGTGACTTCCTCAGTTTGTTTAGTCTCCTACCGTCTGCATAGTGCGATGTGCATTTCTCGGTATTGACCAACAATGCCGGTACTCATGACAACCCTGTATTTCCTCGCCTTCTCTGGTCCACAATGCAACCAGTTCTATATATCACGATCCATTGAACTTCCCTAGAAACGCTCCTTTTACAGACTCCTTTTGCATTTATACCGTGATTGTGGGAGCTGTAACCCCTTTGAGAGGCGACATGGTTCAGTGATCAGGGCTCAAAGTCACTGACTGGAACGTCCGTGGTTCGAACCCGATCTCTGCATTTCGATTTCCCCCTGTTTAGGTTCGGACAATCTGGTAGTATCCTAGTGCTCGTCCGTCCTATAAGTGGCACTGCAGTTAGACGTCGAAAGGGTGCCACAACTGAACAGGACGGACCTCTCTAGACCTAAACAAAGGACTGATACAAACACTCCGCGGAATCCAAAATAGTCTGAGGGATGTCACTGAGACTAGTTGGTGCTCGTGGAAAGTATACTCTGTAGAATCAGGACGAACTCCTTTGGGGTACACCGAATAGGGGGAATCGGCATACAGAGAGAGCAGAAACAGCAAAACTGCAACATGCATTCAGTTCAAGTAATAGTGCGCATATTTGGAGGAACTCGAGGTAACACAAGGCGTGAACTTGCTGACTGGGAGGTCCGGGATTCGAACCTAATCGCGTCATCTGATCTGCTCCTGTCTAGGCTAGGATAATCCGGTGTTATCTCGATCCTAGTACTTCTTTCGGGTGCCACGGTAGCTGCTGCAGCGACAGTTGGAGGATCGGTAGTACAATGCCAAAAGGGACTGAACCCCCTTTAAAATAAACTATCGTTGCATTTCGGTACTGCACGTTTTTCTGTACACCTGGTGAAGGTTGAACGTGTGTGAATAGATCACCCAGCTAGGCGAAAAAACACATTTACCATCTGTGTCACGAATATAGCAGCAACATCAGTGAAATGTCCCTTAACCTACATACGAAATTGAAGAAAATATCTGGTCAGATTACATCACTGGAAACAGAATCGTTCAGCGGTAACACCCTGTACGAGCCTAGCTGCCGTGCCACCTGAATAAGGCACGAGGGCTGAGACACTGCCAGGTCGCCCAAGCCTGGACACGAGCAATCGAGATGCAGGTGTTTGGTTTGACCTCCCCATCAGTAAGTTCACACCTTGGTCACTGAGTTATCTTGAGCTCACAGACTAGAAGGACCATTAAAAAACGAGACGGTCCCCTACGACAGTATCAGTCAGTCGCGAGTGCAGAAATGAGCACAGAAAAATAGTGTCAGCGCTCTGCGCAATATTTACGTTTGGGTAGTTGACTTGGCTATGACGTCCGTTTCTCAACAGAGGTACGCGTTATTATATTTTGATCGAGTTATCCTGTTAGAGCTGGAGATAATTTCTGCTGATGTAGAGCCACTGAAGCTGACAGAACATAGGGTCGAACCATTCTATCCGTATTCGCTCCTTCGCTATTCGGAATTTGTAATTTTATCGAGCCATCTCTCCTCTTTTCCAACCAAACCAAACTCTCTCGACTTTCGCAAGATACACAGAGTAATTTGCTGTTTCCTCATTTTCAACCACGCTTATCCTACAATCATTATTGAAGAAGAGACAAGATCTTAACTTTGTCAAATCTGATTGCAGAACATTGGCGTGTTCTGAGCAACTTGCGGTTTTTCTGTTGAAGATGAGTTCCTTGACGAAGGTAGCCACTAACTAAATCGTTCACTTGGCTTTTCACAAAAATAACCGGTTAACCCGTCATGAAATTCAGAGAAAAACCTGATTGTTCAATCGAAATTCCAAGGAGCTTTGGGCCAGTGTCGCACGCCTTAAACTGTGAATCATCTCAAACCAAGTTGCATTTATGCGGTTTTATTTTTCAACTGGAAGTTTAATCGATAGAGATAAACCATGAAATCTAAAACCAAGCCGCACCCATGCTGCTGTGTACGTTCAGCTTTCGGCACCGGAAACTAAGACAATCAGCTGATATTTGATGGTGATTCACCCATGCACAGCACTTTGAGGGTTCCGGATCCTTGTGTAGATAGTTGCGATTTTTCCGGTGCATATTTTCGTACATGCACAATTCATTAACGGACGTGTAAGGTCTATGCGTTCCGTTGTGTTTGCTTGGGCTTACGGCATTATTTCAGCCGCCAACTGCCTGTTTCATAGCATCACGTGATTGTTACCAGCTCAAGGTCATACAGGTGGTGTCCGGCATAAACAGTCACTGTTTGTTAGGTAATGTTTTGTGACTAAATTGTGACTGTTTTGTGCGTGTTATCATAGTTTTGTATTCAGTGTGCACGTAACGGACATGTATTTCACGGGGTCGCATGACCCATTCAATTCATTCAAGGGAAACGGTTCTGTATGTTTTACACAAAGAGTGAGGGAGCTACTCAGCGAAGGCGATGGCTTTGATGCAGGCCGTGTAAATTGGTCATATCTGTCAGGGTCACTATCCGTTAATCTGTCTTGTCTCGGTTCCCCCATCCTAGGAGACTGCAGTTACCATCACCATTGGGTTGACTGGTGAGGTTTTTTTATCCCTCGCTTCCAAGCCGTTGACTGACCGCCCATGGGTCATCTCCATCCAATAAATGACTGAGTTAAGAGGTCCTAAGGTATACTAGGTAAGTAAGTAACCTGTGCGGTGTGACCAGCTGATCTATCGAGGGAGAAAGAGTAACCTTTCCCGAAAACCATTTGGTTTAGCTCAGCACTACTGACTCAATGTTCCACCAGACCAGCGCAGTGCTTCGGTCGGATGACGAATTCGCAAACTACACTCATTTACACATCACTTTGGTTTTCACAGAAGACTCAAGTGAACATTTCCTGGTCCATATTGTCTCGTTTACTATTCATTCTCCTCAAATACTCAAGAGACCGACGGCACTAATAGACCGCGGTTGAAGCGGTTGTTTTTTACTTTGTTGCAGCTGTCTCTTACAACAGAAGAGGGTGGGTCTTTCTTTAGCTTAAATGACACCTTCAGCACCACTTGGCTTTTTTTTCGAATGTGTCCGCCACAGTCCGCATCAACTTGGACGAGTCATTTGACTCTTCAGATAGCGCTCTTAAGCCTGGCCGAATCCAACTTCATTTTCATTGATTCTATCTACCCGGTGGATTTTTGAGCTTGAAGACGCGACATTGACCTTCGCCTACTCTGTGCTGCAGATCTTCATGATCGTGGACAGTCTGATGCACAACTTAGTCCATTTATTTGGCTTGTTTTCTCAAGTCCACTTGCATCCACTTTTGCATTCTTCGGTCTCTCGTCAGACGAAGCTATCTAGTTTTCTTGGCTCCCTCCCGAGATTGCAAGATTTGTAGAACACTGATTTGAGCTTTCACTCCTAATGGGGCTCATCAGAAATGTATATCTTTGGTTTTGCCGGACAGCTGACATCCACTGTCACCAATATCACAATGACTGTCCGTCACTGTTGGCTTGGAGCTTGGAAGTCATGGTGCCCATCGACATGTTCGACTGAAATCTTGTTAGCTTGCCAACGTTTACGGGTAAAGTCATGCTTGAACACGGTTTCCTTCTTCGTCGACTTATTTGCACTTTTCTCTATTCTTTCTGCAGTGTTGTATGGCCAATACTTCAGGCAGTTATGCATCGCCGAACCCATCTATAATCAATACGACTCCAAATCCCGTATATTTTCCCCTCAGTCCGGTGATTCCCCGTAAAGTAAATGCAGCGACTGCGCGATACACTGCCAGCGGTAATAGCCAGTGCTTTCACATGGATTTTTCTGCGCCCTCCCATACTTCAACTCTTTACCGGCTCGACGAAGCGATGGAAGTGATTCCTGTCAGTCCGACAAGAAGTGGCGAAAGCAGCGGGATTGGAGGGAGTGCAGGACTCTTTGAATGTCTGCCTGGTGTTGTCGAATCATCTCTTCCAGTGTCCACTACATCTTCGCTCAATTCAGAATGCCGTCATGTGCAATGTAAGTTAATAGTGACCCAAGAAGATCACCACGATAAGAGGGGATTTTGGGTAGTTTTCTTGGGAGAAGGCGTACACTAGGTCATACCCGACAGGGATCGTTGATATACACTATCAGAAAAATCAGTATTTTACTTGAAAACTTCCGTTTTAGATTTTCCAACCTTCCTGATTCTGACATCCTGTCGAGATGGAGCCAGAGTAGAACTCTGAAGCAGTTCTCGGAGCGTGGTGCACACTGACTGATACTCTGTAACTTTCTTTCTACCAAAAGTTGGGTACTTTAGATTCAGTGACTTGATGCCATATCGAATTTCGGACACGCGCTTCAAATTTCATCCCGATGGGTTGCAAGGTGTGTAGGTTGTCCGAGGCAGCTTCATCGTGACTGTGTCTTGATCAGCAGCCTGTGTAAGCCTAAAAACGATTTCTTGACTCTACGAACACTTGCTTAGGCCTTTTCATTCACTAACAACTCTTCATCTTGCGCGTTCGTCCTGCGCCGTTTTGAATAGTTTCAGCGGTGAGCGCGCTATCCAATCAATATGTTGGTTCATTTACCTAACTCTGTGAGTGATGAGTCATCGAACCCAGGTTTGTGAGATCACGTGTGGCGGGTTCACTTGTCTGATCTGAGCGCCTTTCACGCTTGCTCGCATAGCTTGCTGTTAAATGGCTTTCTTGGAATAGCTATATGGAAACGTCGATAGGCCTTATGCTTCAGCAGACCAGTGCATGTGCTGCATGCTGGGTAAGGAAGTGTGGACTACAGTAAAGCCCATAACGTTACTTCGCTCTCAGATTGACTCACCTTGCGGCGGAACAAAACGATGATTAGAGGAACAATGCGCGAAAAACCAAAAAGAAATTCTTTGCGGCAGGCAAGGGAGCAGGCAACTGTTTAACTTCGTTGATACACAACCATTGTGTCGTTGTACGTATGGTTCTAAGCATTCACGCACATAATCGAGGGCCGCGAACTCCGTGATTAGAATTCAACCTTGACTTTTTGATTGCTCGTGTCTAGGCTTGCGTAACGTGACAATATCTCAGCCCCTGTGTTTCCTCTAGGTTGTATGGCAACTATACACCGAAGGGGCACTGCAGGTGGACAATTTTCACGTAATCACATTACATTCTATAAACCAGCAGCTCTTAAAGTTCGGTTACTGTGCAGAAAACTGGGTTGTGCTCAGGAACCCCCGCGTAGTTCAATACCTCGCCCTTGCTTGCATGATTCTGTCTGCTTAACGGTTTCAAGGTAGCTTTGATAGTTTTTCTTCCAAGCTGATCTGATAAACCTTCAAAACTGGTCTATTTATGTTCCATTTTATCGTGATAAGCTTTTTCGAGACAGAATGTCCCAGTGAAACACAGTCATCAAGAGCTGAGGGTTTGGTTTCGACAGCTCACACAAAGAACTATTAGCGGTGCCGGAAAATACGAGGATGATGGTTTCCCTCCCCCGTTACTTCAAACAGTACGTACAGCAAGCCCCATTTTAGGTTCAACTTTTTTCTAAGTATTTCGGGGAATGTGAGAAATTCACACAGTCGATTTGAGCCCTTTATGTTTAGTTCATTGGGATACTTTGCCGCGTTCAGAACTTATGTTCAGTATGGCCCAATTGGTCAAATCAGAGCGGTTCGTCTACTCTCTCCGAGCAATTCCTCAAGTGTTAGCATGTAACCACTTAAGCGCTTTGGTCTATTTTGCGCACGTCACCTCGTTACTGACGATACCGANGAGCGGTTCGTCTACTCTCCCCGAGGAATTCCTCAAGTGTTAGCATGTAACCACTTAAGCGCGTTGGTCTATTTTGCGTACGTCACCTCGTTACTGACGATACCGAACAGAACAGGTACCGCATTCAACCGAATGATCCAAAGGAACTTGTGCGACGACACTCGATGCATCAGTAGAAAGACAGGACTGGTCTGTGTGCGATTAGCGCATCATCTACACGGTTTACGTTACAGTGACCATTCGTCTCAAGATGGCGCAGAAGAACACAGTCATCTCACTGCACCTCGACTATCTTCAATAACTAGGTGGATCATGACAGCTGACTAACTTCTGATCCATCTCAAACTGTCACTCTGTGGCCATCAAACAAACTATACAGACTATACAGTGATCATGTTTTGATTTTACCGAAGGGCTTTTCGCAAGAGGACAGGACAAACAAACCTAACGAACAGCAGCCAACCAGAATTTCATCTTTGTGTACCGGACCAGCTGATGGAACGACAACCAGCGGAATGCGGAGGGGATCTTTCGGATAACTGTAAAAAAATGCACATCGGTACGGTTGACCTTGCATCGTCTTTGACCAGACGCGTCACATGTTTGAATAGAAAAGTCTCAAGGTAACCTACGCGTACACCTTTGCAAGTGAGGGAGACACATACGCACAAACAAACGGTGGTGGTACATGTCATGCACTGATAACACCACAGGTCACGCTCTACTTTGCACCTCGCCATACATCAGCTCAAGCTCTTCCCACAGTTTTGCCTATCCACTGAGGCAGCACCCTTAAAACTTTACTCGCCCCATGGTTGTCCGATCAATGTCAGTCGGTATCTTTGTGGTTGATTTGCATGGCACGTTCCATACAGACAATAGCAAATATTTTTTACCAGATTTTTCTAATTGCATACTCTTCAAGGAGGGTTATAGAGGACTTCATCCCTTATACCGTGACCCGTCTGCTCTGCATACACTGAGGTTTGCACTCGGACATCGTTGAACGCCACTCATCTTTCAATCATACAGTTCGTACCACGTTATTTAGCTTTTTGAGTGACGGTACGTGACGGTGACTTGAAAAAGTTGATATCCGTGCGCCAGGTGGACTTTGACAGCCAGGAACCAAAGTTTATCAAATCCGTCAATAGTTCACGTAAAATTCAAGTTGTCAACTGCACCATCACACCTGATAAAGTATTATTTGTGGTCTGTGCAGAGACTAGACATTGACTCCTCGCTTCACACATTTGTGCTAAAATCTCGGTGCGAATGTTGGAGTAGGTGGCGGCTAAATTTACACATGGGTCCTCCAAGAGGGATCACCATGGGGAGACAGTATATGTCCTTCTTGAAACCTCTTTTCTAGGCGATCGTGTGGCAGGTCGTGAATGGTCGTGGGAATGGTGTCTTGCACACAGTCTTGAATGTCGGTATCACAGGGCTTCTTCTTGGGGGGCTACTCTACCTCTTATTTGCCATCACCAAAGTTTATCCGATTAACAGATCGCGGACAAACCTTATATTCAACCTGAGCCACCGACATTCTCCTCAATAGTACAATATCATATTCGATCTTGGATAGAAATGGATAGAAATGCGCGTCAGTCAAACTTATCAATGTTTCTAGTACTCTAAGTTAAGTGACGTGGCTCATGCATAGACCAGGATATATAGCATATTGTTTTGTTCTCGGTTTGGCGATACATCTATATACAGCATAGACTCTCTGGAAGGGTTTTCTACGATCTACTCCTGCCCTTGATCGTACGGATCGATACCAGGCAGAGACGACCATCCAGTTGAGCCTCAGGAACCCTTAGTCTGCCTAATTGTACATTCATAGCTCCGGCAACCACAACTGCTGGCCCACCGTAGCCAAATGCCCAAAAATCGTCGTAAAAACTGTCTTTGAGTGGTGTATTAGTGCCTGTCTGTTGCAGCTCAATCAGATATAGAACGATCAGTGATTATCGGCGTGTTCACGGGATAATATCACAGATGTTGCTAAGTGAAACTGAACAAGCATCTTCCAAAGTGTTTTTTTATTTTAATTAATTTTCTGTCTCGGCTAAATGCTACGCCCTTAACGTCGTTGCGCTGAAATGCTACAGTGTACTTTTGCTTCGCTCGGTGACCAAGCTTCTTTCTCGAATTGAATGGCTTCCATGATCCCACCAAGGCGCAGTATCCCTGATTCCATAGACGTTGGATCTTCGTGATGAACTTGTTTTATTGACTCATTCTATGGTGCATGCCTGAGGAAAATCTGTCTCTCGCTCACAAAAACGGACACAAACAGCAAAGCTGTCTATAACAATGTAAGGTCATCTCCCGGTTGGCACTGAAATTCTGCCAAATCATCCGCAGTGGGTCCTTAGCTGCCCGTTTTAGCTACATGCGTACTGTTGGTGTCTCGATCAAACGTTACTGTGATGCCTTTAAGTGTATTTGCTGTCTGAACAACAGTTCCTAGAGGAATTCCAAAGGGACCGCCATGATATGCAACAGCGATTCAGTGGTACCCTGTACGTCAATCTGTTGTGACGCTTTCTACTGTCGACCGCAACATCCTCTGGGGCAGAATCACAACCCACCGGTCGAGAACGACCTATATCGCAAAACGGAAGCAGTCAGGGGGTACAAGGTCGCGACATAAATCAATAGGAAAACTAATCAATCATGTGAAAGGGGCACAGCATCTGCCGTGGCGAGTAGACCAATCACGATACCAGTGTGGGCTGAGTGATCAACGGCCGAACCAGCCTAAGGCGCGCACGGCGTGAGTCGTGTTCAGGTGCGAATTGGGCGAACAATGCAAGCCAGCGCTGTGCTGTCTGTTCACGGTCAACAGAACGCTTTTTTTGTCAGCGTGTATGTGCGGTCTGTTCACGGTCAACAGAACGCTTTTTACTCTGACTGCTCCCATGACATGTTAGTCCGTACGACCAAGTGTAACTATGTTCCTTCTAAAGCCAACCCTTCGTCCGTTTATCAAAACGTTTGTGATGGCAAGTGCTGAAGCGTTCGCCTCGAATCCCTCGCCTGTTTGAAGTGTGGTAGGTCGTTCACTCGTCCGTTTTCGTGCGGTGGCCTTTACATTACCAACCGGATCACATGGACCAGTCAGAGCCAGAGATAACTCATCGGTTAATTGTTGCAACCAATGGCAGGAACCTGTGTGGTTCGAACCCATCTTCAGCTTTCCGACTGCTTCCGTTTATGTTTGGGTAGCCTGGCAGTAGATCAGCTCTTGTGCTCCTTCCGAGTTGCACGACAGCCATGCACCGAAACGAAGTCACATGTGAACGATTGATCACTGCAACGTGCATTTTACGCAGATGGCTGTGACTCAATGTACTACATCGATTGGTTCGGTTTACTTCGCAATTTCCAACGCAGCTCAGCCTTATTTGATGTTCTTGCGCATTACCGGCTGTCGTGTTTGGTTCAGTTTTTATTCAGTGAATTATCGATGGTCCCTGTTCGTTTGTCATCATGTACTCGGCTGCTCGGCTAGTCAACATTTTCTTCTCTGAATGGCATGACAGTTATGGTCACTGAGTTTACCAAAAGAGTATTGAGCTGATCCAGCGTTTTAAATTTGAAATGATGATGGATTAATAATTACAATCACAGTTGTTTGTTGTTATAGTAATAATATAAAATATAATAATATATATGTATACATCATGGGGCGAGATGGCTCAAGTGGTTAGAGCGCGAATTTACTGACCGGAAGGTCCGTGGTTCGAACGCGACCTCTGCCTCTCGACTTCCCCTCGCAGTATCCCAGCCCACACGCCTCCTTCGTTCGGCATGGCAGCTAGGCACCGAAAAGGTGTTGCAGCTGAAAGAGTATTTACACATCATATAATTACAACCATACTTATAAACTGGTGTGGCGTATGAGTACAAGGAGAACGAGGGAGTTATTTCTGACACAAGAGTGCTCACAAGGCACTCATCTCGCGAATGTCACCGCAAGTCTTATGTATGGTGCCACTGCGTTCAGATAAACAACCTTTTCCGCAAAAAATGAGACAAACTGGTACCTACTGCCAGGGTGGTGGATCTACTTCGCCAGTTAGAAAGCGCGTTTTCGGTTGTGTAACGGGTAATTCCATTGAAGAATGTGTCCAGCACCAGAAGCTGCGTTGGTTGGGACATGTGTTACGTATGCCGAACCATCGTTTGCCGAAG